CCGCAGGGATGCCATTAAAAGGTTATGAAAATACTGTGAGGGAGGGAGAAGGGAGATATCTGTCTGCTCCCTTTGCTGCAAGGGCCTGCTCCCTCTACAAGCCTGGAACCATCACAGGAAGGGGAAGTTTGCTGAAAACAAACCCTCAGTGCTCTCAAGGGTCAAAGATGTGCCAGAACAGCCTATGCCGGTATGTGCAGGGTCCTGTGTTCAATCAGAGAAGCACATTATTCACCCAAAATTAACCTTCTGCTCTGCAACTCAAAAGTTTTTGGGGCAGCTGTGTTTGCTGACCACTGAGAGTGAGCAGTTTTATACAAATAAAATACCTGTGCACTTCAGATACAGCTACACCAATGGCAGTCGGGCAAATAGATACTCAAACTATTGCCCCACCAGAGCCCTTTGATATTAAAGTCTCATTATGAGGGGTTTTATCAGCCAGAGATAAATTTTACCACTGAAATGATCCTTTTTCGGGGTCCCTCCAGCAGCCAGAGACAGCTGAACAGCACTTTCACCAGCTGACACTTCAGAAGGCAGGAGGCAGCGCTCACACCACATCTTCTTCCACAAGAGATACGAGCTCTGAAAGCTTCGGCTGAAGAATTTCATGCAAAACCCCTGGTTTTCCCTCAGACAAGCTGGCACATTTTCCATGGAGGGCTGAGTCTTCTGATGACCATCCAGGTAGTTACCATCTCCCCCAAGGGGATGCACCTGCCCCTCCTTACAGCCTGGCTGCTGCCTTCCCCACTTACCCCTTTCTCCCACCATCTTCTCTCCTGTTTATCTATGTGGATGTTTCTGTTGTCACTCTAAGTCAGATACTAATCTCAGCCAACAGCATCTCACTATAATTAGCTCTTAATTGCCACTTAACACAGAGATTGCTTTGGAAGACCATAACAATTCTTCCTTGAGGAATTATTTGAGTGTTAAAAGCTCATTATGTGCCCCTATACACGTTTTGGATAATGAGAATTGTTTCAAGAGGCAAATTTAAAACACCACTGTGCACACAGGCTCTGCACACAAGATTTATAGGGTTTCTTGGAGCACTAGTAGCATTTTCATGTAACAAACCGCAGAAGTCAGTGTGCTTTGCTACCAGCCTCCCTCCCTCACACACCCACCACGTCTTTATACTGAAAGCAGGAACATTTTAAGAAGCACCTGTAAAATGTGATGGGTAAATGTCACAGTAAAGTTGCATTGCTACTGCTCTGTTGGAATTGCTGTCCTCAGCCAGGTGCAAGCTATCATAAAGACTCTCCACTTCAAGGTAGACAGCACTCAAGGAGCCAGGAGATAAGCACATTGTTAGAAGAAACTCATCCTTAGGCATATACAAAGCTTTGGCCAAGACTCGCTTTGTTCCTGAACAGGTCAGACTCCTGAGAGATTTGAAAATGGACAATTTGTCAAATTCTTAACAAGATCTCCAGTGTTCTCACAGCAGAAGCTACAAGTGAGTGCCGGTCTGCTCTATTTAGTCATCTAGCTGTCAGGGCAACAGTGAGGAGAAAGAGAAGCCTGATTCTTCTCAGGTACTGCCCCATGCACACTGTGCCAACAGGCAGTTTAGTGTCTGTTTGCAGTGCTCTGGAAAACACCACACTCAAATAAAAGGGGAGAAATGGGCCAACTGGTTTCTCAGAGCCTACTGCTGCTCTTCTCTCCATTTCCCTTGTTGTTTTTTGTTTGTTTGGTGGTTGTTTTTGTGGGGGGTTTTGTTTTTGTTTCTTTTACTGTTCAGGAGATGTTATTAGTTTTAGTAGGGTCTGAACGGCTGCTGAGCTCCAGTAGCTTCTGGGAAAACATACAGGCTCTGTACGGAAATATTTTTTTGGAGAAGTTCCCATGATTCACAATCCTCATGACTAGCAAGTTTCTCCTTTTCGAAACACACTTAAACAAGACTCCAAGGGCACACGACAAAAAGAGGTGTCAGAAGTCACAGTCACACCCTCTATACAACCACCTCTTGGGCAGCAGCCCCTCCGCCAGCAAATGGACCTGGAGCTCAGAACTGCATGGAATACCAGTTCCAGGAAGGCTCTGAAAAACCCTCCCTGCAGAAGCCAAGCCTGCACGACCAATTTGAGTGAAGTGAAAGTCTGTAAGTGCCTGTTGATTTGATGGTTTTTATGCCTAAACGTGGTCCTAGGAGGAGAACTTCCAAGAAGCAGTAGGAATATATTCCTAAATGCATTGCACAGCGCAGAGAAGTCTTTTGCAACAGAAATAGAGGAATGACTCATTTCCTCTATAGCGGCTGCTCCAGCGTTTCACTCGCACAGGCAGTGGAGCAGCTCCCTGTGCCATGCCAGGAGGAACGGGGAAACTCAAGAGCAGTTTCCAGCACATGGAAACCGAACTGAATTTCACAAGGACTTGTCTTTAAAACCAGTGATCCCCCATTGTCCTCTGTCAGAGCACAGGAGACAGATTCACAAACTGTGCCCCAACACTCCCTCCCCTCATGGGAGTTTAGGATGTCAGCATTTTAATTTTGCACAGGATTAAACCTTGAAAGAGTGAGCCAAGAGTTGCCCTCTCTGTTACCCTTCTCTGAAGCAGGACTAGTAAGCACAGGGATTTGTCAGTGAATTCATCTCCAGGTTTCTCTTCTCCCCTACTTGAAACTGGAAAGGAGTGGACTGAAATCACAGGGGAGAAGTGGGCTATCAGTTGGACTTTGCTGCAGCTCTTCCTCTGTTTCTACAGCTATTGGGTTTCTGTCAGCACAGTGAGACTTTTCACAGCAACCCTTCCAGTTTCTCCACTATGAATCTGCCATAAGGGTAATTTTTCTTCTTTAATTTGATAGCTAGTAACCTTCACAGTTCCATCAAGCCTATCTCCTAGATACCTTACATCCCCCTTTCTTTCCCCTGCCCAGATTATTGTATTGACTCTGTGGGAGAGATAAAAGCCAATAGAGGAAGCTTTGGTCTGGTTGTTGTTGTTTTGTGGTTTTGTTTGTTTGTTTGTTTTTTGTTTTTTGGTTTTTTTTTTTTGGGGGGGGGAAGTGGGGGAAACTCCCAGGGGTCTCAAGACAAGCAGCCTGTAACTGGAGTAGATAGAAATTTTCCAAGTCTCTGAATCAGCACTGCTGTCCTTTATAAGGAAAAAAATAAGGCTTCCTCAACACAGAGACTGGTACATGGTGACATTTGATGCACACGTTTGTAACAACCTTTAAGCATTTTGCATAAAAATTGTTAGTTGAATCCACAGGCTGTTTACAGCCACAGAACACACAGTACCTATAGCTCTCTTGCTGATGAATATTACAGTGCTTTGAATCTCTTACAAAGCAGTTGCAAACATGCCAAGTCTTGGTTACCTATTTAAAATGGAGCACTGCAGGCACAGGCACAAGAGCAGAGATAGTCTCTTAACTAGGCATCCCAAATATTTAAGAAACCCAGGCAGAGCTATCCATGGTCAGCCTTCCATATCCTGCTTGTTTTAGAGCTGGGAGCTACTCCAACCCCTCGAGTAAGCACAGCACTGCTCCAAAGCATCAACAAGCACTGAAGACAAATCCGTGTGCTCTAAGAGGTGCTGGTCCTCGCCTCTGCAATGACCACCAGCTTCCTAGTGCTGTTGGCCCAACAAAAGTGGGTCTGGCTGCTCTTCTGCTGGCAACTCAAATATGTGTCACCTACCTCAGGGAAGACTCACCAGGCACATTTTTAAAGAGGTGACACAGGAAACAAAACAGCCTGGAACAGCAAATTTCTCATGTCTGAACTCTTTTGGAGCCTTATGGAAATGGGATGCACAAATAAGAGTCCCTTCCCTTCCAGGCAGCTTTAACTTGCTTTAGCGGTATTTAATCAGCAATTCACTACTGACCTTGGCTGCATTACAAGGGACGTATTTGCACAGGGATGGAAAGGTTTTAAACAATTTATCCAAAGAGTTGGATGCAAACAGGCTTTTCTTTAAACATCAAGCATGCAAGTCCTTAGGCCAGTTAATTTTTTGTTAACAGGTTTATCATGAAAGGAAAGGCCTGTGTTTCCTTTAATGATTTTCTGCTGAATAGAAACTCAGGCTTCAGAGAAATACTTCAGAGCAAAGAATGAATGGAGACCAGAGGATGGTTATTGCTTTTAAAAGGAAGCCATTAATAAGAGATAATGTTATGAGAGGTAAGGTTCTAAATACATTTCCACCACGCTGACTTGGGTGTCTGAGTGCTGACACTAAAGGAATGACATTTTCCCAGTCTTTGCCAGCGAGAAGTGCTGGGCTGCCTCAGCACTGTGCCAGCAACTGCTGCCCCTCTCACAGAAGCTACTCCCTGCGAGGCAAAGGCCGGTACACAAAGATCTGCAGATCGTTATTTTCAGCCTGCTTTGATTCAATGATTAAAAAGCTCAGGGCCTTGCTGTTATTTCATTCTTTAATAGGGAACATCAGCACAAGCTCTAAGTGTATAGTTCTAGCATCTTACCAAAGACTAATAAAGGACAGGTAACTTGCTGGCCCATCCCCAAAACTCCTGCTGGCTCCAGAAGGACTTTTTCCATATTTAATAAAGCACGACCTACACAGTTTGGAACAGAGAGATGTCTGTACATGCCACGCTGAAGAGATCACTCAGATACTGTGAAACCAAGTCCTAGCTTTTTATGAAGCAACAGAAAAAGCAGATTTGCAGCAACCTAAAACTGGAGGCAGGGAAACAAGGACTGAATCCTCCTTAACCTCTAAGCAGGACAACCACAAACCCCAACGTGCTCCATTTCAAAAGTCAGCAACACCACAGAGGTGCCAGCCGTGCTTTCCTCTCTCTTCTAGCTCTCCTCCCACGTCCCTCTGCACAGCTCCCAAGGTGTGGACTTCCTGCTTTCCCATGGCTTTGCCACTTTAGTATTCTCCTCCCAAAGAGCACACAGACCTGCCAATCACAGTTCTGTGGCCGCAGAACTTTTCTTTTACTGAAAAAAAGATAACAAGGAATTTAAATCTTGAGGCATAAGTGCTTTAACACAGCTGTTTATTACTACAGTGAAATATTCAAACAAAACCACCAACTTTTTATGGAAACAATAAAAGTGCAAATGTATTTTGGTATTAAATAGGAAATGAATTTATAAACGTTTCATTAAAATGGGCTGACACTTTGAGCCTTTAAACACTTTAAAACAAACCAAAACAATAGCAGCTGAACACTTCAGTTTAATCTTTGGTCTTATGATTAACCAGGAAAAAAATAATTGTACCAAGAATGTCCATTACAAACAGACACTTAAAATTTACATTACTCTGCAGAGATTCAAAATCAAGAGGAATGTTTGCAAGATATTTGGTCAGATAAAATACAATAATGCCTTTGAGAAATACACAGCATTTTTCAATGCAAAATGAAATCACATATATGAATTTTGGTACTGAAAATAAACTTAATTCTCTTTCAGGTGTGATTCCTCTTCCCAATTAATGTTCAATAGAACAACTTCATTTGCACAGTCAAAACTAGGTTGCAGGTAAGAGAACCAAGAACTCACATTACGGGTAAATAACATGCTCTTTCCTCTGTGTTTGTGTTTCAGTTTACACGCACAGAGGGAACCACTCTGAACCTGTGGTACATTATAACAGCCACAACCTTGAAAAACAGGTACTCAGAACCTCGTTCTGTGTGCACTACCCATGGGCTAGGAGGGGAGGAAGAAGGCAAAAGGCCCACAGGATTACTCATATGGGTCAAGTTCTCTTTACACCTCCTTGCAGATAAGGCCCTCTGACCGCTCCAGCACGCTGCAGGTACCTGTGCTGTCCACCTGCTGTGGAGTAAGATGGACACTGTAACAGGACCCAACTTTTATCAGCTCCTTTTGTCGATCGTATTCATGAACGCATGCTTTAGAGCAGACAAGAAAAATACATTTAGTATCTCAATTGTACAACTGAGACACAAGTTAATCCAATCCAAGAGATTTTCTCAGACCTCTCACCACCTGCACACGCATTGCCTTATGGCAGGATGCCCTCCCTCTTCAAGAAAGTTCACCCAAGCCTAAGGTGAAAGCAAACACATGAAGTTTTCTCCCATCACCACCCATCACAAACTCAAAAATGCCTTGCTGAGCATAAACGCACACTGAAGATCTGCCTGCATGGCTAAAAACAGAGGGTTTGCCTCACTTTTCATCCTGATTCAACTGCTTTGGAAATACTGTCAAAGCAAAACCCACCTTAATCTCTTTTCCCTACACTCCAAATCTGATTGTTTTCAGTATCTCTCTTCCAATTTTACCCTGTGTTCTTTGGCTTGTTTGCAGCATTTCTTCACTGAGAGTTTACCATCATCCTCATCCCTCAGCTCAACTTTCATTTTCTAAACTATTTACATTCTCCACCATCTCTGTCATGCGTTTTCCAATGCCAATCTCTTTTCCTGGCCTTACTATATATTAATGAGAAAATCCTTCCCAAATCTATTTCAAGATTTTCCTGTATTGTGGCAATACTAAACAATACTAAACAAATATGCATCTACCTTTTCAGAAAGAGACAGGGATGCAGTGATGTAAACTGACAGACAGCTGACTGAAGCGGTCATGATGCCAGAATTAACAGCTAAAGGGCTTTTATGTCATGAGTTCAGGCAGCGACAATACCCTAGGCTGGCCGTCTGGTTCTTCTTTGGGCAAAAGATTCAATGGCTTTGATCGCAGAACTGCATCTTATTTTAAATACCAAGGAACACGAGTCTGGAAAAATAGAACATATCATGGTCTGCTACCAAAAAAATCCCGGAAATACCAAGGTAGCTGACTTACTCTTAAATACCATGTGCAAAGAACATTTGATCAATACTACCTATAAATACACTATTTGTATTTGTAGAAGGAAGCACAGTGCTTCGAATACAAAAATAACCCAGCTTGCGGGTGTGACCTAAGGCTATAATTACCTGAAAATAAGACTGCAAGAGCAGTTAAAAAAATAGACAGAAGTAGGCAAACATATGCCTAGGGAGTGTTTCCACTTAGAAAAATAGATTTTTATAAAGCTTCATAGATTTTGAAAATGTTTGTTTTGTGCTCTGATGCACAGAGCTGTGAATAAGTCACACTGGTACATCGAGGAGAGGAGGAACAGATTAGTAACTTCAAGTTATCCTAAAGCTTCCCAGAAGTTACACTTGGTCCTTCATAATTCTTTTCAGAGTGCTCACCTAGGACACAGTAATAAGTCATAAGGCACACACTCCTAGACACCAGCAATTCAGCAACACATTTTGGCCCTTAACACATCAAATACTTGAGCAGGTGACCAAACAAAGCAAGGATTTGAAATTCTGACTTTGCTGACACCCTGGCACATCAGGTTCCTGTACAGCAGGTACCTGCACTGGGAGCTAAGGACACTTGCAAAGCTGGATGCATTACAACTCAACAGGTTATTCCAGAACTGGGACATAACAAGGCAAGAAGTGGAAACATCTGCCTGATGTTTATACTTAAAGGACACCAGAATCGGTGGTGTAAAACTACCACTGTACCACAAATTAGTGCTAAATAATTTTTAAGTACCCTGAAATATTTTGTTTCCTCCTTCCCATAATAAAATAATGATTTGCTATGACACAGCACTAAAAAATCCCGTCAGGTTATTTGGTTCAAACACTGACACAATCAGACAACTGGTTAGGCAGTCATCCAAAAATCCCACCAAACTCCTACCAGGGAGCAGGAGGGTGCAGCAGGTCAGCTTTGGCACTGAGATTTGGTCTGCTTTAAGGTTTGTTACAAAAAATAATACAGAATTTGTTAGTTTTGTTGTTGGTCCTTGAGGTAAAGCAAATTCTAAGAAAATAATACTTGAATATGGGAACAAATACTAAAACTCAACTAGAACCCACAAATGAACCTCAGAGTATTTCTTTAAAAGGTTTTCTTTAGGATGATCCAAACACCACTCCTTTAACAAAATACTAATGCCTCCTCCATAGCAATGTTTAGTGCAGCCAATTACCCTAAAAATAAGGCCTTTGTGAAAATAAAGTGCTAATTGTTTCTTTTTATCTCTATTTTAATCCTTTGTTACAACCCTCACTGGAACACAGCAATGTCCAACTACGTTTGCATATTGCCTCTAGAGAGGCTTCACTTCTTCCCTCAATTTCTTATTAACATGTTATATTTCTATTCAGCACAATGTGCTCTATTACACAGGAAATTTAAAGCATGGCAACTGAGCATTTCAAGCTGTGATCCACATCCATGCTCTAGTGCTCACTGCATTTTAAGAGCATCTTGGTATGTTGAAAGGGGGTTGTTTGCACTTACAGGATTTCTAATTACCAAACGGATTTTCTGTCATAAAAGGCAAATCTCAAAAAGAAAAAGGTCAATTTTGCCACTAAGACAAAAGTTAAAGTGGCTTTCTAAAAATGTCAGTTCGAGCCTGTTAGTTTGCAAACAAGTCAACTGAACGCAAGACTTTTCCACTAAGGCACTTCCCCAGAAATTTCACAATTTTCCCACGTACAACCAACGAGACTCAATAACAAGAATCACAATTTCAGTCTTGGTCTCCGGATTCCAAGTTTTCTCAGGTCAGGGACAAAACCACAGAACCACATTTAATCAGGTTCCACCTTCCTCAGGCTCTTGAAGGACCACTGGGCTGGGATTGTGCATCGCCTTGGAAGGGTCCACGGGGTGACACCAGCTCATTCTGCCAGCGGCACCTGCTTGGCCTCAGCGATGTGCCCGCATGGGGAGGGCACTGGCCGCAAGTACCGGGGACTGCTGTACATCCTGATGATGTGCGGGGCCTGGATCCAGGTGCTGATCAGCTGGAAGGCCACGAGGTCCAGCGTGGGCCCGTCGAAGGCAGCCAGCAAGTTCACAGGGGCGGCTTCCTTGAGGAACCGGGGCAGCGCCACAGCCTCGGGGATGCTGGTGTTGCCCAGGAAGAAATCCATCAGCACCTGCTTGCGCAGGCAGTCCCTGAGATACAGCACCAGGTCCTCCAGCCGCTCCACCAGGAACCGTTCATCCCAGGCCTCCAAGGGCCCCCGCAGCAGCACAGAGAAGAGAGCCGTCTTCAGGATGTAGGAGGAGAGCACCCGGCCCCACTGGGAGCAGAAGGGCTCCTCCAGACCCTGCCCGCGGAGGTCCCGCAGGCCCTTGAGGATCTGCAGGCACTTGAGGTGGCAGGAGGAGGCCGGGGCCTGTTCCTTCAGCCAGCCCAGCAGCCGCTGCTCCTGCCGCGAAGCATTGAGGCCCCAGAGAGCATCGGGGGTCGGGGGACCCGGCGAGTTCTGGGGCGGCAGGGCTGTGAGGTAGAGCGCGTCGCCGAGAGGGATGGCCGGGATGAGGCGCACGGCCATGGAGATGTGGCAGCAGACGTAGTCGGAGCAGGGCAGGATGTGCAGCGTGGGTGGGTGCCCGGGGCAGGCCGAGAGGCTGATGCGGCAGCGCTCCTGCAGCCGGTACCGCACGGCGCCCAGGCAGCGCTGCAGATGGCCCTGGAACCAGCGCAGCACCAGCCCCGAGGAGAGGTGGCTGCGGCCCTGCAGCTCCACGCAGAAGCCCTCGGCGAAGGGCCGGCAGCGCCGGGACCAGCCGTCCCTCGCCCGCAGGCCGCACACGAAGTCGCCGCGGGGCCCCAACTCGTGGGCGCAGCGCGGCTGCGGCTCCAAGTGCGGCGGCAGCCGCAGGGGCACCAGGATGTCGAAGCAGTCGGGGCTGCGCACCTTGTGCTGCTCGTAGGCGCTGCCGATGCGAACGAAGTCCCCGCGGAGGCTGAGGGCGAGCGGGCCGGGCTGCAGCCCCTGCGCCTTGGCGGCGCGGACCAGCTCGGCCACCACCCGCCCGACGTGCGCCTTGCTGTGGCCCAGCACGTGCGGGGACACCCGCAGCTGCCGCTCGTGGAACCGCTCCAGGGCCCCGCGCCGCGCCCCCGCCGCCCACCGCGCCCCGCCGCGCCGGGCACCGCCGCCCGCCGCGCCGCAGCACCGGGCGAGCAGGCAGCCCAGGAGCAGCAGCGCCGAGCCCTTCAGCAGCGGCACTCCGGACCCCGCCGCCTCCTCCGGCCCCGCCGCGTCCCCCGCGCCCTCGCCGGCCGCGCCGCCGCGCAGCGCCTGGTAGAGGCAGAGGAGCGCGGTGCAGAGCGCGGTGAGCAGCGGCCAGAAGCCGCGCACGCCAAGGGGGGAGGCGGGCAGGGCTCGGCGGGGGCTCGGGCCGCGGGGGGAGCCGCCGCCCGGCCCCACGGGCGGGGAGCGCCCGCCCCCGCCGGCCCCCTCCTCCTCCGCCGCCCCGGCCGCCCCCAGCGCGGGCCGCGCCGCTGCTGCCCCCGGTCTCGCCGCGCCCCTGCCTGCCCCGGCCGCCGCTCCGCTGCCGGGCTTCCTCTTCCGACGGACGCGGCCCCGCGTCAGCCGCCGGCTGAGCTCAGAGGAAATGCCGCGGGCGGCGGCCCGAGGGCCGGGGGCGTTGTCCGACGGGGGCCGGCCCGGGGCGGGGAGCGGCGGGGGCCGCCCGCCAGGTCTCCGTTTCCCGCCCTCTCGCCGGGGGAGCCGCTCCGAGCCTGCCGAGTCCCGGCGGCCCCGAAAGCAGAGGGAGACCCCCCCTCCGGGACCACGGGGCAAGTGGTTCCGCGCCCCCCTCACCGCCGCACGGCGCTGCGGGGTGTTCTGATGTGGAGCCGGGTGTTTCTGTACCCCCGCACCGGGGCACGGCGGTGTCGGGGACCGCTGCTGCCCGCGCTGCGGTGCCGTGTCTCCAGCTCCACGATGCACGTTTTTTTCCTCGAATAAAAAGTGCTACAGGCCTGTCCCGCTGCAGGGGAGGCCCTCCGGTTCCCGGCTCTGCCTGAGGGATTCGGTGCCAAAGGAACAGCAAAGCTGTCACTGCCAGTGCACCAGAGATGGGCTGCTGCCTTACTAACAGTTGCTTGCAGTCAGAAACGTTCAAAAGCCTCGAATTTTTTACCTTGTGCCCAAATATTCAGACATTAACAAATTAAAAAGGAAGAAATAGCCCTGGCATATATCTGCACAGATACCTGAGATAATTTTAAAACATATTTTGCTGGAAGTATGTGAAACTCAGCCTCAAATGTTGATGGGACAGGACCATCATCCTTGGCTTCTGCTTGGTTAATAAACATTTACTGAGTTTTGAAGCTGTTTGCTGAAGTTTAAGGACCATCTATGTAAGCATTCTGTGGTTTAATTTCAGGTGATCATATTCTTACTGCATTACTGAGACTTGCTGCATCTGCACACTGGCAACGGGTGGCCCCACAAAGGTGAAAAAGCAGTGCTTGAACAGAAGAGACTGAACCCAGCAAGCTGAAAATGCTGTAACAAAGGACTGGTCAGAGAATCAAGAGAAAGGCTGTGCAAATTTTTGGTTATGTAATTTGTCTTTATATGACACAAAAATGACTTAAAGTACATGAAAATCATACTACATCAAAAGTAGTTTATATTTTATAGCTAAGATGCTTCATACAAAGTCAAACTGGGTAACCAAAGTCAAGCAGCCTGAATTAATTCACAGGCAAAAAAACGAAGGTGAGAGTCAAGAGTACATTTGAGAGATATAAAGAGAGGTCCTAACCACTCCAACTCTGACTCTTGGACTTACAATCAGGAGTTTGAGGACTTTTTAAAATTAAAAATAAAGCTGATGTAAAGGTAAGAAACTGTAGGTAATTTTATAACAGCCAGTACAGTATTCCATGCTCCACAACCGAAAGCATGTTTTCTGACAGCTGCAGGCAGCTGAATCCACAGCCTTGCTACTCAGAAATGTCACTCCTCAACAGCCATATCTTGGGGAAAAAACAACCAGGAAGTGAAAAGCATCTTTCTTCTCCACTCCTTGTTTCATGTTTTCCTGTATTTCTTTACAAAGCCAAATAAGGGGACAAAAACATGCATTGTGCTGCTTATTGCCAGTGACCCCTCACTTCACTTTGTTCTGTACCCCAAACCTCCAAACTATTTGAAAAAAACACAGCTGTGCTGGTATTGAGCGAATCCTTTGAGATCTGAAAATACTGTTGAACTCTGAACCTTTGGCCCATGCATTCAATTTTTACTAGCCTGTGCTTTTTTACACCCTCAAGCCCAGCACGTTTCACATGCCTCCAGGCCTTGCTGCAGGCACACTGATTTCTGAAGACAGCCAGCGCTCTTTTCACGCAGGGTTGATTTGATTAGCTGCACGGCCACGCTCAGGAGACAGACAGCTACACGTGCAGGAGCTGGCACAGCCCTTTGTGCCTGCCCACAGGGTGACCTAGAGCTGAGCAGCACAGCAGCAGTTATCCCTGTGGGACCTGTGTACGGGGAAATGCTGCACCCTCCCAGCCAGTCATGGACCCTGTGGGTGGGAGGAAATGCAGATGTCACCCCAACCAGTGGGACAGGCCCCAGGGCCAGCGGGCCAAAAGCGTGTGACCAGTCACACGAGGCCCGCCAGCGCAAACACCAGCCCACCACAGGCTTCTGTGTGCCCAGATGTGCTGGGCAGACCTCTCTTAGGCTGCAGAGTGAGATGTTGTACACAAATGACTGCAACCGTAAAATCAGCCAGAATGAATCCACAACACTGATTTACACTATTGCTGTTTAAATTACCAGCGGGCCCTTTCTCACCTCCTCAGCCAGAGGCAAGATGAGAGCTGTGGAACCTGAGGCTGATAAAAGGTGGCCAACAGCCTGTTTTCTGGGGCTTGGCTGCTTCATGTCTTCCTGAGCACAGGGTGGGTCTCTGGTCAAAATGCTCAATACATCAGAGGTGGGAGACATCGTAGAGGTGCTCAGCTTTATGAACTTTTTAATAGCAATTGCGTACTCAAGAAAAATAATAGGTTGTACACTAACAACCGTGACCAGAGAGAATTCATAACATCAATTTTTACTACCATTGTTTAAATCACCCATTGTTTAAATCGATGTTATCTAAACACTCGCTTCAGAATGTCCCATATCCAGGATATCCTGTTCACTAAATAAGGAATAATGTTATTCTCAAACAAGCCTGAGCTAAAAATAGATATCCCAGTATATATGATCTGCATGATAGCTCTGGGGCAGATTTGCAGAGGCAAAAGAAATCATTGGGTTAGAGCATCCATTCTAGCAGTATTTCATCAGTCACATCTGTGTGGCTGATTTGTTCATGCTACAGTACGCCAGACGCTGTCAGATGTAGGCAGAGCAGTCTGCACCATCCAAGGAGGTAGAAGAAAGTGGCAGAAAAACACAAGACATGGACAGGTGATGACATTTATCTGGTGTTTCCCCGATCTACCTGAGACACAAGCCTTAGACTTCCTCCCAGCTACCCCAGGTCATTATCTGCCCCGGTGAAGCAAAGCTGCATGTGGTCTATTGCAGGTGCAGGAGGAAATATATGGGGATCCCTTCCTGCACCAGTGATGTACAGCTGCTCTTCTACAGCAAGCGGGTTAGACCTCCAACTTCTTATAGTGCTTTATTAAATGGTCTATAGCAGAAAAGTAGGATAATTGATTACAAAAAATTACAAGATCTGTCACTCAACTTCATGCCCCAGTCATTACTCTTTTAATTATGTCCTCTGAAAGCAAAGTTGCCAGCACATCTCTCCCCCAGCCCACTGGGTGGTCCTGCCAGGGAGATGCCATGATTATAATAAACATCCTTCGCCTGCCACTCGTCTGACTCCCAGGTTTTATGGGATACTATTAACTACCATGCAAACCAACAGCATCAGGCAGACATGAATCCATCTTTTATTGTGGACTAATGAATCTCTGCCAGTCACAACAGCAAGGGATGGGAGAACAGGTGAGGGTGTTCTTGCTATCACAAACAGATGAGGAAACTCAGCAACCCAGGACTGAGAAGAGCCAAACCTCCAAAGCAAGTGCATGGACATGGAGGAGTTTTGAGGGTAGGGAGATTAGTGCACATTCCCTCTTAAAATATTTTCTGTTTAATAAGTGGGATGTTCTTGCCACCTCTGCCAGTCTGTTTGCTCACTAGCTATCAACAGGGTGTAGCACTTCTTAATCTGAGAGCCTGCAAGCAGCCCAGGTTGCTATAAATCACATACAGCCCAATACAGGATTTCCTTGCTGTAGAAGGATGGCTTCCTGAGTAACTCATACAACAACCTCTTGCCCAAGCTTGTCCTTATCACAAACAGAAACACCCTGGCTCTACACTGATGATCAGTAACAGCATCAGCTGGTTCATTTCCATCTTGTCCCATAAAATTTGCAAAGCCTCAAGGACTACTTTTTTGCATAAAAACTTGCATGAGCAGGGCATTTACACTAACCCATTACTCCAGCATTCAGGAAGCCATGTCTATGTTTCCAGCTAAGCAATTAAAAAAGAAAAAAGGCACCAGCCTATCTACATCGGTATCAGTTGGGATGCTGAGTTCTGTCTGACAAGCTGTGACCGTGGCAGACTGCCCTCCAATGTCCTCCAGAAAGCTGAAGTGGCTCATGTTGTGAAGAAATCCAACTACAGCATCAGAGAGAGGAAATATCTTTCAGCATGAAGAATGCAAGTATACAACCATCATATGGAAAGGGGATCAGCAGTAACTGCAAATGTTTTTTACACTGACAATGGAAACATGACAACTCTCCAGGTCAAGACCATAAATCTTGACATTGCTCTAAGTTCAGTATTAGATGTGATCCACATTTGAATGACAAGTCATGCTGAGGTATAGCTTCCAGTGCTCTATCTAAACACTCCAGCCAACCAGCCCTGGTAGCTTTCCTAGGGTAGCAGAAAAGGTGATCATTCTGTGCTGGTGAAAAGGTTCCAGTGTGTCACCTTCCCCGTGCAGGAGCCTGCTCAACCCTTCCCTTCCCCCACCACCCCCAGGGCTCAGCAGAACTAGTGGGTCTGAGAACCCCCAACACAGAATCCCCAGGCTTAAAAAGCATCAGATAGAGCCAAACCTTGCATGTGCTTGCGTTAAACCAGTTTAATAAAAAACAGTTTAATACCAATCTAATTAAATCCAGATGCATTTGTGTGTGTTGCAATGTAAATTTAATCACTGACTGAAATAGTTTAGCTTAATTAATGGTAAGTCACTGAAATGTGTATTTGCACCATAACTTGCTAAACTAATAAAAAGTGATCGCATAGCTGAGCCCTAATGTGCTGATTAAAGGAGAGTAATTCAAATGAGGATTGTAACAGTTTCATTTTACCAGTTTGGGGTTGTTGTGTCATTTCTGTTTTTCATAACCAGTGCAAGAGAGTTAGAGAAGAGACATCAGGCTTGTCCCACAGCTCCCTGCTGTTTTCAGCAGAGCTGTGGCAGTGTCACTGATGGCTTCTAAAGGGCAGCAGTGGCAGCAGCTGCCCCCCCTCCCCTCCAGTGACTCTCATTACTGGGTCCCAGCCATGAGCCTGCCTGGCCTCCCTGTCTTTCAGCTTTGGAGACTTGTGCACCCCTAAGCTTGCCATGAAATTAGAGAAGGGGTTTTGTGCCTGACAAACAACCTGTAGCAGCGAGCTGCAAAGAGGAAGCTTAGGCACAAGGCGTTGAGATACACCCTGCAGAATCAAAGGTAAGTGCACGACAGGGAACAAGCCCTGTTATCGGCTTACAGCCTCACATAATGAGATGATCCTGGCTCAGCTGACACTCCTCCTGATGAGCCTGGGCTGGATCACCCACCCAGGGAAAAGGAGGGAAAATAGAGTGTAGGAGGAAACCTGAGTAAGGGAGGATCTGTCCAGGGAAACCGGCTTATCAGCACTTGGCAATTATGGTGGGAAAAGCTGGTGCTTTGGCTCACAGCACCCTGTCTGCCAGGCTGGAGGGCAGTGGTAGCTCTAGGAAGCCTTGTCCTAGACCATTACCTCATCCTGTCAAGGACAGAAAGGGAAAAAGCAAATGGCTTAAAAGGAAAGTGACCTATGGTGAAGGAAAAGCAGCCCAAAACTGATCAAAGCACCCAAGCCAGCACAGTTTTTCACCCTTGCATTCCCACAGGGACAGTAGCAGAGGTCCTTGGGCTCAGGGGGGTTTCAGGGTTTCACCTCACACCCACACATGGAGCCTGGCAGCAATCCCCAGCTGGGAGCATCTCCATCAGGAAGGGCCATCCCAGCAACATCATCCCATGCAGGGCAGTGTCCTCTGCACTGCTCTGGCCCACCCGATTTGGGTGGAAAGGTGCTGGGAGATGCTGCAGGCACTCTCACCATCAATTGAAAAGAAAACCTTGCAGCACAGTGCCTGGTATAGGAGATGTCTGCACACACAGGTGTTTAAATCATGCCTAAAAATCAGCCACAGTCGTGTAATCTTCCTGCTGCAAGGGAAATTCTTAACCTGCTGGGCTGCCCTGTGAGGTGTTGAGCATCACAGTGATGGAACCTGAAATCCCACCCAGATGGCTAATCTTGATCTCTTCCCAGCATCCCTCCACACCAATTTCTCAGGCTGTACCCCTTTAACTAAGATAAAACTTTCTACAGATCAATGCAAAGCAACACAATTACTTCATTAGCAAGAGAGCAACTGCAGCATATTCCCATCTCTGTTCAAGGCCATTCAGATGAGCCCATTAAGTGACAGCTATTTTTACATCTGGTGTCATAGGTTTCCTTATTACTACAGTGCCATCCACTTGATCAGAGGTGGGAGCATCTTTCATGTTCTACCTAATTCAATTTAAATCTATTTTTTTAAATTTACAATACAACGCTCCCTGGAACTGTAAAAGATGGGTTGCCCTCATCTCACATAGGTGCAAACACAAGGCAAACTCAGTGAAACAACAGGAATGGCACAGGCTTCCCTAAGGGAGAGTGGGGTCAAGCCCAAACTGCCTTTTCAAGCTGGTTCAGAGCTGCATGTTATTTCTTACTTTACTTTCAGAACATGTTGCCTCCTGTTCCTTTTGCCATCTCTAAAGTGGCATCTGCAAATGGGGAAGAGAACAATGAATACAAAAGATTCACTTTTCCCTGTCTCAGCACTGGTGGGAACAGATACATCCATAACCAGGCTGAAGTCCTACTAGTGCAAGTGAGTGGATCCCTCACTGAGGGCTTCTAAAAACATCTCATTAGCATTGGGCTCACCCTGCAATGCCCAGAACCAGCCCCTTCCTTAGCAGAAGGGTCACCAGTGCCTCTGGGATCTTTATGTCTGGGTCCTCTCTGAATGGAAAAGAATATGCTCATAACTAAAGGAGGAATAAATGTTAGAGAAGGCATGGAGCAGTTCAAGACCACCCTACAGTGTTAAAGTGAAACTTGGACCCACTGCAGCATCACCCTTTAGGGAGTGGGGATGTGGTACCACAGAGCAGAGATGTCCCAGCCACCCCCACAACAGTTTGCTGATCCCTGTGGAAGCAGAGGAAAGGGATTACCATGGTGAGCAAAGAATCAAGAGCATGGGTTGAAACATAAAGAACTGTTACCTACCCAAACCCCAGCTTCTGCTCAGACTGCAATTCTTTAAATGACACGGCTTTGTCCTCATATTAATGTGTTATTCCCCTCCCTCTCTCAGCTCTGCCTCCTGCCACGGTGTGACAGATGACAGAGGCTTGGGGAGAGCTGCCTCAGGCTGCATGGATTTCAAGCTCTCTGCAAAAGCACTTTGATATTGGAAGTTACACACTTGAAATCTCAATACCTTGTGCTCCCAGCTTTTCTAGGATCTGATCTGAGGGGAGCTTTAACAGCTCATCTCTGCAGGAAGATTTTTAGACATTTAAGAAGTATGAAATATTAAGGGTTGCATCTGAATTCACAAAGAGATTTCAGTTCACACAGTTTCAGCACCAGTCTTTGGCTCTGGAATAAATGATAAACCTCCTTTCTAGATAATTTTTTTTTTGTCAGGTTTATGATTATAAGCATAAAAATATATTTTAATTATCACTCCTAAATATATTCAAGAACAATGAATTATTCATGATGATTGAATGCTTAATTGGATTTATTTCCCTTGTTTTAATGAACCATTCATGCACTTTTGGACATTTATCTTACTTAAAGTTGTTCACCAAATACTTTGTGTAAGCAACTTTGAAACAGCACCTTCTTGAGACTTGTCTCCAGTACCCTCTGTCATTTGTAGTTTGTGCTGGTTACACAGCTTCTCGTGCCCTACAGCACTGATTTAGCTCCACAAATAGATGATTATCACAAAGAACAGGTATCTCCCAGTCAGCCAACAAATCCATTTACAGCCTGTCCATTGGTCAAAGAAAGATGGGGGAATAGTTCAGTGCCCATCTTCATCCATCAGCAGAAGGCAAGTCACCCAGGTCAAAAAGCACCTGTATGGTGCTTCCCCAGTATGGGGGAGCTCAATAACAGACAGATTGTCCCTCTCCTGGCCTCCAGTCGTGCTGCAGGTCATTGGGACATCCTGAAATCACCTCCCCTCTGCTTCAGGGAAACCCAGCTCCTGCCCAGCAGTGTGAGCACACCCTTTGTCACGAGCTCACCAAGAGGGGCTGGGAAGACTCTGAGTCCAGGACAGACATAAATATACCTGTGTGCTCTCTGCATCCTGGAAGAGCCAGTGGAGAGCACCCAGCAGACCTGAAGATGTGGCCAGATGGGTAATGGCTACGACTTCTGAAACTTCACAGCATGCAAGTCCAAACACAGGGGCAAGAAGTAGGGGCATGGGTGCAGCTCCAGAGACCACATGGACTTTGATCCACTTGGGATTCTTTCTCCCTAACAACAAACAAAAAAACAAAAATGAAAGCAAACAAAACCAGCTACTAAATCAAGTCCATGCTGGTGTGTTGTAGCAACTTCAGATCACTGACTGTTTGTATGAAAAGCAGATTAATATCTTGGTATGTGGGAGAATTCAGGAATGAGTAAGTGTTGCCTAAGATGAAGAGGGTGAACACTGAGAGCAGAGTGTGAAGCAATAATTGCCAGATACAGGAAAATTTATCACTGGTTTTACAGTGTGGATAAATATTCTCTAGGAAATCTCCTCTAAACTTCTCTTGGTTTTATGCTGTTTTCATAACACATGCAGGTCATGTAATTTGTTCTGTAATTTGGTTGCTCTTGGCTGTGACTTATAGGGCTTCATAAGTGAAATGTTTGGGATTAGGTTTTTGGGGCTTTTTTTTAGTAAATCAAAGACAAGCGTGTTAGAGTTCTGTTGATTATTCCTAACTTACTACAGGTCAGCCTGGAATAAGTACTCAGAATTAGAAGACAGATGGAGGGTGTATCACAACACATCACCTAAAAGCAAAGGCTGTAGAAGTACCATATGTATTTGGGAAAGTGTAGGGAAAAAAGAAGGAAAAAATATAACCATGCATTTTCTTGTTAATAGGAAAGTCACTGAAAACAAGACACGGGGCTTTCACCACTGGTGCTGGTGAGTTATTTCTGTTTTAATACCAAGTCTATGGAGAATGATGAGTCAGTAGGAAAGAAATAATGAACTATCAGAGCACTTCAAAGCAGTAGCTTCAT